CTAGGAAATGCATACAATTACTTTTTAGTTAGAAAGGAGTATAAAAAACATGGCACGTGTTATTCAGCTCACTTTGCGAGATCTTCTGGTTAAATTCTATTTTGTTTTTCTTAATTACTACAGACAAACAGTTCCTTGATTTCTTCAGAATGTCTGACCACACTGAGTTAGAAAGTGTGTGTTTTTAACACTAGTTGATTTATATGGGAGATTTGATGGTTGTTTTCAAACAAAATTATTTTGATTAACCAGAAAACTCCAGATGGGAAAAGCTGAGTTTCTAATTGTGTCAGATGAAAGAACTTTCCAACAAAAGTGACAAATTAAAATAATAAACAACATACAAATCGGTTTTAGGCTTAAGCAATGTGTTTAAAGGTCTTAAAAATAGTTTTGACGCTTTATTAGTGCAATTGTACTTAGATCAAAACAGTTCTATAATGCTAACCTATACATAAGATACATGCAGCACAATATTGACATTTAGAAGTTTTGATTTTGAGACAATTATACCAATGGTAATGAACCTGTACCAGTTTAAAGTCTTGGATAGCAATATTTCAAAAGTGTAACTTAGTTTGTTTTTTCTGTGCTTTAACAACTGTTAATGATAGTTTAAGTTGATTAATACAATTTCAAACTAGCCCCTTTAAACAAATTTTATATCAATATCTATAAACCTCAGATAGATAGAACACTACAAAAGTATAATTTTGAATTAAAATATCAAAGAAACATAATTTTTGTGTGAACTAAGCACTGTTAATGAAAGTTTAAGGTGATCATTTTACATTATGACGGTTCTCAGATACCAATTTTGAACAAAATACTATATTTATGACGTGCCCCCCAGTGGCACAGCGGTATGTCTGCGGACTTACAACGCTAGAAACCGGGTTTCGATACCCGTGGTGGGCAGAGCACAGATAGCCCTTTGTGTAGCTTTGTGCTTAATTACAAACAAACAAACAAATTTATGACATATCAATATCTATATATACCTCAGAGAAATAAGATACTTCGAAACTGCAGTTTTGAATTATGATATCAAAGAAACATGTTTGCCATATAACACATATCTTAGTATAAAAAATAATAACGGTGGCCAGGTCGCTTTGAAGAGAGAAATTTTCGTTAATTTATATATATACAAAAACGGAATATATAACTGAATCAGATACATGATTCGTGCAACAGATCAGATGTTAAGCTAAAGATAATCATCTGAATATTAAAGAGAATAATGTATGTTTTCAGCTAGTAACTAAGGTGCCTTCTTAAAGAACATTAGTTGAACGCTTTTAAAGTTTCTAAGATATTACAAAATGCACATCATGTTAAATTTGAAAACAAGGAGACGTTAATTAAAAATGTAGTTAAAATGCCTAAAATGTTAATTTTCTGCTTGGTTTACCTCAATTACTTTGTGATATCCATAACGTTATCTATAAGAAGTTTACTGGAATTGGAAACTCAGCTGCTCAAAGTCAACTTTAGTGCTGTTGTTGTGTAGACTGCTGTTTGACTTTACAGAATATTCAATCATGTTTTTCTGTAGGTAAATATTGGCATGCTAGTTTAGTTTCACCAGATGTATTTCCTGACCAAAGCAAGTAAATAAATATCAGTTACAGTAGAGCTTGCTAACGATTTGTTTGTGTTAGTGAAAAGCCACATTGGGCTATCTGTTGATACAATCATGGGGAATCGAAGCCCGGATTCTAGCGTTGTAAGTTTGTAAACGTACTACCACTCCACCGGGGGGGGGGGACACTTGCTAAAGTACTACCGATCCATCGGGAGACACTTGCTAACGTACTACTAATTCACCGGGAGGACACTTCCTATCGGAGACTCAGTTTTAGTTAAATGCTATTGAATATGTTGCACGAATATTGCACAGGCGTATGTGGTATTTCAGATCAAAATTCGGATTTAAAAACTTTGATTTTTGTAATATGTACATTATAAAATGTCTCACGTTTTGTTGAGTAAAACACCCTGAAAAGCGAAAGCTTTAATCTAATCTTGTTGCTAGGCTTAAATACAGCATTACCTGCATTATTCTCAGCTAAAGTTACTTTAATCTTTTAAAGTTACTTTAAAGCTTTAATCTAATCTTGTTGCTAGGCTTAAATACAGCATCACCTGAATTATTCTCAGCTAAAGTTACTTTTCTAGGAGGTAGTGCGTTACTAATCATAGAGTTGTTAAACTTTTAAATTAACATGAAGCGTTAAAACGATAATTGAGAAAACTGCATAGTATGTTATGTAATCAAACGCACCATGTAATCAATATAGCATTATTATAATTATAATTTTTATAATGTCTCATACCCGTAATAAACTATTGAATCAACTTAAGTTTAAGAAACGCCTAAGGTAACGAGAAACTGGAAACAAAATGACATCATATGAAAATCACAGCTGAGGTTAAACGATATATATTATATTTACAAATCTCTGAATCTTTTATTCTCGTCCTCGATCAGTGGATGAATTAGTTTAGAACGCTACAATACGGTTTTTTTTTGTTGTTGTTTGTATTCATTTACAACTTGCTTGATTTTACCATAATGTCACTGTCAAATAACAAAGAGAACTTGGAGTTGGTTTTTATAGGGACCTTATAAAACAAAAGACCGAAGGATTTATTGGGTGCTGTATGCATCAATAACTAATACCTATTATTTTTGCTAACTCGTGTACTTTTATGAATTGAAAAAAAACAAAAAACATTTCATCTATGAGGTTGTAATGAGACTATAAAAATAGGGTAACTTTGTGGGTAGCACAGTTTATGCGTGTACTGAAGCATGCGAGGAAGTGTTTACGACGACATAACGGCGTTTTGCGGTAGTTTTTATGGCGTACAAAATGACCTTTAAAATTATACGCTCATAGTTAACCTTTTCATTACACTTATAACTGATTCAGATAGTCTTGGCTGTGAAGTTAAGTACGCTATACTTTCTTAATAATAAGCTAAATAGATTACAAGTTACAGGATTTCAAATAAACATTATAAACCCTATGAAGAAGCAATTAAGCTTACTCCTAATTTTATTATCTATTTGTTAAGCTTATTAAAACTACATCATTAACTGAACTTTCGAAAAATATCCTGATATTAAAACTACATCATTAACTGAACTTTCGAAAAATATTCTGATATTAAAACTACATCATTAACTGAACTTTCGAAAAATATCCTGATATTAAAACTACATCATTAACTGAACTTTCGAAAAATATTCTGATATTAAAACTACATCATTAAATGAACTTTCGAAAAATATCCTGATATTAAAACTACATCATTAACTGAATTTTCGAAAAATATCCTGATATTAAAACTACATCATTAACTGAACTTTCGAAAACTATCCTGATATTAAAACTACATCATTAACTGAACATTCGAAAAATATCCTGGTATTAAAACTACACCATTTACTGAACATTCGAAAAATATCCTGACAGTTTTAGTTCGATTTCAAGAGAATCAGATTTGGTTATAATAAAACAACGGTATGATATCCAGTAATTGAGTTAATACAATTGTTTTATTGTTCTAATAAATTTGTAAACATAATTTGAGGCATTTTGTACTGTGCAACATTTTGTTACCCCCCCTTTTATGTTAAAATGTACAATGTATCCTAAACGCAACGAGCCATATTCCTCAATTAGCATATAAAGAAAACCTATTTTATTAAATATCTGTTAATAGTCAATCAAAACATGTTGTAACCTGATTTTAGCTCATGTTAATTTCTGTAATATCAAACATTTGTGTTAATGTGGAACTAGAAACAAAGATAAGTATTTGAAAACAGACTTAGCACTGGATTTGTTTCAAGACATTTATTTTTTATCTTCTCTGTTTATGCTATACAATTCACTCTATTTATTCGAAATAGTATTTATCAACAGGTTAAATAAGACTTTTAGCATGTATAACTGTGATATGCAAACCAACTTCTTAAAAGAAAACTCTTACAATTCGAACGTTTCGTCTGTGTGTATTTTCTCTCCAACAAGCTCATTTGACGTTAATTTTCTTAACCGGTTTAACTGATATATATTAGAATACTGTAAGGTATCCTGATCACTCCCAGAACGTGGAAAGTTGAAATACAAATACACTTAACACTCTAATTACAACATCCTCACATGGTGTTCTATTGTGATCTACTATCAGTCTGTATCAAATAAATGTTAAAAAAGAGGTGTTAACATACACGATACGTGCAGTTAACAATATGGCAACATTTTTTCAATGTACGCATGACAGTAAAGAACAAAAAAGTTAACATACACGATACGCGCAGTTAACAATATGGCAACATTTTTTACAGTGTACACATGACAGTAAAGAACAAAGAATGAGCTGTGCAGTTTTATGTTTAGTGTGAAAATCTATGTCATGTTACAATTCATCGAAGTACATTCATTGTATATCTACTTGTTATCATCGTTTGACGAGGGAGTGTGTGTACAGTGATAAGTGTATTAAAAAGCGCTAAACAAACTGTACAAACAACATAAACTATTAAAGATATGACTGTGATAATTACAACCAAGTGGTTTTAAAAAAAGGTTATATCCCATTATGGTCTTTAGTACAACCTGTCCTCCAATCCTGTTATGTACGAAAGGATGTGAATTGGTTGTCATGTGGAGGACGGATGGTGTTACTGTCAAACCATCGTCTCGCAAATAGAACACAAAGCAATTTTAGTCACAGTGTATGTGTTGACGGTGACACATAACGACACATTATTCAACGGACTATGGTCCATTAAATGTTTTGATATGTTTAAAAGTGTTAAGAGGTGGACGATATCTGTGAAGGAGAAAGAGCGCGTCGGGAGAGATAGCCACATAATCATTCAAAGTAGCCATAAAACCCGTGTTGTTGATTTTAGGGAGCAATTGCGCGGTACTTTAACAGCTCTATAAAAGAAATTTAAGAGTATGAACAGAGCTACTTACCTGGCTGAAGTCGTATTCCTCACTCGTAATTCTCCTACCTCAGAGATTGGTCAAATGACCCTGTGATGACCTGGAGCTTCTCTTGAGTCACTAAATCAGCCAGTGAGAGGCGCGCCACCTGAGAAAGCCCACCCAACGTACGTCAGTTTACTGAGAATCCGTCCCCTACACGTTCTGTAGTGAGATAGTAGGGAAAATATATTTCCGTGAGGCTGGTTTTTTTTACGACTTAAATATATTAGTTACACAATAATACCATTGTAAAATAAACAGTTTCTAAATTTCAACTTCGTCCGTCTCGTTCTCTCCGATAAGATCACATACCTTGAATTAATCTTGAAAGATCTAAAACTTTATATACAAACGCTTATTAAAAACTTTTGATCAAACTTAGCTAAAATTACAATCATTTATTTAAAGACATTCGGTTTTTGTTTTGTTTAATTTGTTTTTTCTTTCTTTTGCTTAACAAAATGTAAACTATTTTAAGGCAGTAAACAGGAAAATGTAAGTGTGCTATCTACAAACGAAAACTGAATATATAGATAATGTTTCGTATAGAGACTTTTGGAAGGGTAATGACAAAGAAAGTTACCTTGCAAGGAAAGTTGTCGAAACAGTGAGAACGTTTTCATCAGTAGGATGGCCCTTCAGTTTCCTTTCTGTTGGCAGACCCACCAATCTGTGTCGAAGCAGTGCCGCTCACTAGTCGACGGAGGCGGTGCCGTCCCACAGGGCGGGATCTTGGCTTCGTGCCGTTTTTAATTTTTTATTTTTTTTCACTATTTTCAAACGTATTGCTCTTTTTGATTTTCTTGCGAATGTTGTTTGCTGGCCATGATGACTCTGTATATACTGCCACTGAGGGTTACACTAATGGAAGCTCTTGTGCATGTATGGACGTTGAATGGTTCTTCTGTAGAGAATAGCTAATACGACGTGCTCTACAGACAAGCTCACTACAAAACGTGGTTGGTGATCCCTTGGAGAACTGGGATTACCAGATCTCTGCTGCATGTAGATGCCCATATTCCACCAAGAGTATGGGCAACCAATACCATCGGGCTTACATGACTGGAATTTCGATGTTCTTTTGTATGATGGTATGGCTTTCTGTCAAAAAAAGCTTAATCATAAGCAGCCATGCAGTGAAGAATACTAGCATGAATGCAACTCGCCTCAGGCATGTATTGAATCTGTCTTGCGGAAAATTAAGAGTCTATCGCAGATAGGATTCTATATGATGATCTCTGAAGTGGAGCCTATATCACTGACACGTCGCACTTGCATATCTCGAGGGTGAGGGATTATATCTTCACCGTTTCTTATAGATCTCGGGGACAATCGCTATGTTTACTCTTATCAATATGTTATCAACACTGAACCTCAAAATTCAGTACTTTGGCAGTTACAATAAAAATTCCCTCGTTCTTATTTATTTAAAACATTAAAATTAATCCATTTTTATTTCAGCCCATTTTTCACCATGATTTAAATCACCTATTTAATAATTAAGATTGAGTAAATGTTTAGAAAAAAATTAAAACCAAGTTTAATGGGTGTAATTTTATTAATACGATAAAAGTGATTTGAAATATTTGCTAATCTCAATCCAACAATGTTATTATCGTAATATTTTATTTTATTATTTAAACGCTAAGTTTTACTCACTTCTTTATTAGTTTAAAATGTTTTAATTAAATTTTACTAATTCAATACAAATTTATTAATCTCTAAATAATCAAATAATAAAAGCAATTTTCATGTAACTGTCAGGATCTATTCTGTTATTAACATAGCAAATTAATAGTTTAGAAAAAGTTTCAATTATGAGATTGTTCACATTATGATTTTTTTCTTTTACGAATGAAGTCTAAGAGCGCCTATATATATTTCAATATTTCTGTGATACAGAAGAAACATTGTAGAGCAGTAGTATTCCTGTATGCAGGTGGGGTTTGTCACCTTGCTGCCACCGTTTAAAGTAATGTTTAAGAATTGCTAGCAGCCTTTCACGTTGTTATAATAAAACGGCAGGAGAGCGATACAACATGGTCGTAAATGTCTGCCAAAGAATTTACTGCTGACGAAATAGCAAACCAGTGGTTAGATCCCTCTTTTATTGAGATACGTACATGAGTAATCGAAACTAGAGATATCTTTACATCTCTTTATACCGTTTTCTTTATTAGCTGATTTAAGGTCGTTGAGAGTTAACTTGAAGGTGTTATTTTTGACGGAAGAAAGTATTATCTCTCGTGTTTTGATAAAACGTTAACGGTTACAGAGTAGTGGTGAAGACGAGATGGATTAGTAATTTGTTCAACATAATAAAATTTGTATACATATATCGTGTATGATAGCATTCAGTGCCGTTCTCACTGAAGCAATATTTGCTCTGTGGAAAGAATTTAGGTTAGAATTACACCCTCAGTCCTTAAGAATTTATTGAATCACTAAAAAGTTCAACAACGTTTTGCATCTTAGCTCTCGAGGGGGGGTCGTCCAGAATTAGCTTGAGAAAAATGGCACTGTAAACGCAGGAAGCGAATAACAAACTAAAACACGTACAGCGACTGATAGCTATTGCTCAATATTCTTCAAAACGAGGCTACTGTAAGCTTTTGGTCTTAGTTGAGAAAAACACGCTTTTGATCAAAATAAATTTAATTCATGGGAAACCAAATGTATTTAAAAATTAAAACATAATTTCTACCAGTTTTTTAAGATAGTTGAGAACTCGTTTACTTTTTAGCTGAGATTAAATTATCCATTGTTTAAAGAGGTAACTATTAGCGTCGCATAAAACACTTCAATAGGTTGAAATCAGTGCTTGTGATATTAGTTCGTGTTAGATTTAAAATCGAAATTTCAATGTGAAAAAAATTCATAATGGTTATCATGTACTGATGAGGAAAAAGATTACAAATTAACTAAGTTCATTTGAGTAAATATAAGCTAGTATGAAAGAAAAACTGGTCTCCTTAGACGATTCCCTCCTTCCTGATTGCAACCAATCACCTTCCAGCTTTTTCGTTTTGAGGCTCCGCCATTGCTGGGATGGAAACAGCCGTGAAACATCACAGCCCTCACCAGGCCCCTCGCTACGGCTAACGTTAGTACGTCGTTTAGGGCTTTTACGACATCAGTTATGACTGTGGTGATGTTCAGTAAATAGATTATTGGGTACTTGTAGCAGATTTAATACAAAAAGGACAAGAATATTCTTTTGTCTAACAAATGAAATCAAATGACACAATTTGTTTGAAGGCACATTTCTCTCTCTCTCTCTCTGGCAATGGTGTCTATTCGTCTGTAGTGGAAAGCAGCTTTTCCATTTCAGTTATACTTTCTTCATCTGAATGTATGCGATGAAACTGTGGATGAGCTTATGCTAGAATGCTATGCATCACTGAAACGATCTGGTTGAAAGCACTCACGTGTAACCTCTTGAGTGCGGTGTAGGGTGTATGTATGTTTCCAGAAATACCCAGATATAGAAGGATGATCTTTAAATAAGACGGGCTTCTGTTAATCTAAACAAAAGCATGTGATAACACTCATTAGGTCGTTCTTGATACTGAACGTTTCGCTAGTTATTAATATAAGAATTATAACTAAATAAAACAAATAAATAAGAAACTCTTGCGGTCATAATTCCCTACATTAACCTTGAACTTGCTGTGAAAAACAAAGCAAAATCAATGTCAAAAATTTCCAGAACAATTCAAAGGAAAAAGAAAATTAACTATTTGAAGAAGCAGATCAAGCTATAGCATAATTTAAAAAAATTAATTTAGCATTTGTATTCGAATACCAAACACACGAGGCTAATGTATCTCAAATAGGTTTATTACTTTATGTATAATATACATTAAAGTTTTTCTTATAATAATAACAATAACTCATCTTATCAGTTCAATATATATATATATTACCTGTTTGTAATTACACCAGAAAATTAAACGTAATTCATATAAACCGTAATATATAACTAACTATTTCACAAAATAAAGTCGGAAAACTAATTATATATAATGCAGAAAATTTTTAAATTTTCTAGAGAACGTTAACTTATCAGGAGGAAACAAATTATTTATATGTAACTTGATTCATTATTAACATCATTATACATTATAAAATAATAAGAATATCTTGAGTTAAAGCTGTATGAAATACTCGTATGCTTACGTCATAGTTATAGTTATTTAATAACAATATTATAGTATTTTATGCCATAAAGAAAACGTTATTCCACAATAAGATTTCATATATGTTAATATTCAACAAACAATATACATACTGATAAATTCTTGAGGTATCTCACACACTAGAAAAATTAAAAAATAAGAAAAAGCTAAGATGGGATAGAAAAAAAATGTCTGATAAAAACTGTTAATATGACGTCATTAGGTATTTTACACAACTGGATACAACATATTAAATATACCCAGTGGTGACGTCACGAACATAACCTTGACCTTAAAATAAATATAAGCTTACTCCTTTCGTTTTATATATTACGGATTTGTATTCCTTTATTAGAATAGCGTCCTTTATTTTACGTTTATTAACATCAGGTTCTCGATAAATAATTTTAACAGTTTTATTTTCACCACAAGAATCTTTATCTTTAAAATTTTGGTAGACACGTGATGGAGCACGTCCATATTCCACTATTCGAGACATAAATTCCTACAAGTCTTCCCTATATAGAGATTATTACATTCCGGACATTCTACGGTGTGAAGTAGTTCCGTACATTTTACAGTGTGAACTAGTTCCGTTCATTCTACGGTGTGAACTAGTTCCGTACATTCTACGGTGTGAAATAGTATTTTCTCGGCTGTAATTGGTTTAATTCTATGTATTAGAATTGTATTAAAAAAAATCTACAATTAGAAGTTTATAAAGCCTTTCTATTTTTTCCACTTTTTTATCGTGTTTGATAAGCCAGGTATACAGGGAATTACAAAATAAACCAAATCATCTGAATAACTTGTCTTTTCTTCTATTAACCTGTCAGTTCTTGAGTATCTTCTAACCACTAATCATTCCTTTTTACCAACATGTTTTCCAGATAATGTACTTCCTCATCTAGATCTTTTTTTTAGCTGCAATTAGTTTTTGCAATAGCCAATAAAGCTTTTATAATCCTTATTTTTTTAAACTTGTAATGACCTAACGACCAACTGAAGTAAAGATCGGTATATGTTTCATCCTAAATATATGTTTGTTTTAAAAGCATTATTAACTACCAGCTGTCAACCATGACATTAAAAAAGCTAATTCGCCCCCTGTTCTTATTCTCGTGAGTGAATTTGATATTGGGATGTAATGAATTTAAAAATGCCAAAAACTGGTCAACCGTTTCTCCAGAAACAGCCCACAAATGTATCGTCAAGATATCTTAAAAAACAAAAATACAACATAATAAACAAGGGCTAAAGAACTCCCCGTACTTATTCCCCAAGTCTGATAATAAAATTCCTCATTAAATTGAAATACAGTTTGTGTTGTTGTAAAGATTAACATTTGTTTTAGAACTTTTGAAGAAAGTTGTGTTCTTGGATTTTTATCTTGTATAAAATTAGAACGAGCACAATCAATAGAGTCGTTGATTGGCACTTGTGTAAATAATGAAGCAACATGAAACTAACTTTAAAAAACTACGAGGGTTGAATGTACTCAATAACTTAGTAAGATTTTCTGTATTTTTATAACACATTCTGCACGTAATGCATAAGGTCTCAGTATCTAGGCTAAAACTTTACCCAGGTTATAATTAAACGCTCCTCTGGTGGATACAATGGGTCTAATAGATACACCTTATTTATGTATCTTGATCAACCCATAAATGTAAGGTGTTTTTGCATCACTAGATCTCAAACAAATGTAAAGAGAATCGTTTAATAAATGTCAATTCTTTAAATCTAATAAAAGTTTCTTTTCTCTGTTTCTAGTCGGGTTGTTTGTTGGTTCAGTTATTTTTCTCTGTTTCTAGTCGGGTTGTTAGTTGGTTCAGTTATTTTTCCCTGTTTCTAGTTGGGTTGTTAGTTGCTTCAGTTATTTTTCGCTGTTGTCAGTTGGTTCAGTTATTTTTCACTATTTTTAGTCGGGTTGTTAGTTAAAAGCTTAAATTGATCATACAATTATCCTCAGTTTAACTAAAATATTCACAGTAATTCATCATTACAACTGAGGTACCTTTGTCAGCATCCTCAGTTTAACTAAAATATTCACAGTAATTCATCATTACAACTGAGGTACCTTTGTCAGCCTTCGTAATAACTAAATTACTGTTTTCTCGTAATTTTTAAAGGCATTCAGTTCATATTTGTTTAAGTTAGGCTTAATACATAGTAATACATTAGTCGTCTTATATTTTTTCAGAA